GACCGACCGACCGACCGACCAACCGACCGACCGACCCATGCATAGGAAATACACAAAAAGTGGAATGAAAGTGGATCCCAGAGTAGACACATCCACCTTACTTGCCCACGAGAAATTTATCTGGAAAATAATGTATTTTCTATAAATACTCCTAGAAGAATTAAACACTAGTACAGGGAAGGTGGGAAAGAACCTCAAGCCCTACCTCACTCCCACACACCAACATTATTTCAAGATGAACCACACATTTAAATGCAAAGTTACAACTATAAAGCTTCTAGAAAAGGACAAGAATACCTCTGTACCTTTACTGAAAATCCCAAAACATTAAGCATAAAATATTAATTCTGACATATTGAACTTTATCAAAATGTACACCTTATGAAAAGTTAAGCCACAGACTGAGGAAAAAAAACCTGTCATACACAACACCATAATATATCAAATTCTTCTACAAACCAAAAACAAAAGACAACCCAAATTTTTTGCAGTGTGTAAAAAGACAGTCACAGGACTGGGGAAATAACTCAGCAGTCTAAGTGCCTGCCTGGCAAGTGCAAAGATCTGCATTCAATCCCCAGTACCACAAACCATGCCAGCCCTGGAACCAGAGGCATGCCAACTGAAACCAGGCATGATGGCACATGACTAATCCCAGCGCTGGAGGCTGAGACAGGAAGATCACTAAGAGTCAGAGCTGTGTAGCAAGACCCTGGTACCAAATAAATAAATAATTTTTTTAAAAGACACAGTACAAAATTGTACAAATAGCCAATAAGCTCATGAAAAGTAGTAAGCATTAGGCCTCAGAAAATGCAAATTAAAACCACAGTGGAAAAAAAAAAAACCCCACAGTGATATGATATTCATACCCACATGGGTAGCTAAGACCAAAACTTAAGATCCTTGTTGCACTATACATAAATTTTTTCTTACCACTCAGAGACATATCTTAGTCAAACCACACCTTACCTGCCTGTGTTGAAGATGAAGCGCAGGATCAGTACAGTTTCAGCTAACAGGTTATACGCAGACTCTTACCTTGCAAATCCTTGTGGCAGTTCCCCAAGGCCATACAGTGGATAAAGGTATGGGCTTTTGCCGTATCTTGCCAAAGACTCACTGTAAAGTTTAATTCTATCAATGGTCTCACAACATGGCTGATCTAAGTAGCTAGAGAAAAACAAAAGTATGTTAAAAATTTTTGCTTAATTCAAAGTCATTTTCTGAAGTGATTTCAAGTCATGGTATCTTCTTGCTCACTCAAAAGACTCAATGCTAATAATTTTAAACTAGAACCTCATCTTTCACAGTACTTCATGGCTATATATTTACTGTAAGAATTTCTACTTTACAGAACTGGGAAACTGAAAATTCCAAGAAAAATACAAATCTAAAAACAAAAAAAAACTTACTCATCAGTTCGATACAGTGCAAGAGAATGACCAGTAAAATCTATAACATCTTGCCCCAAGTCAAATTTCTTATACAGATCTCGCATTGTGGTCTTCTTAGGATCAATGCCCTCAAACGTTCTAGAGTCTTTTTCATCAAAGTTGGCAACATACACTAGGAACTTTCTGAAGCGACGTTTTTCAAATAGTCCCATTAAGCCTATGAAAGAATTTTTCAAAAAATCACAAATCATAATGTAAATGAGAAAAAAATGAGTGAGAAAAAAGTTTATGCGTATCATTAGCTTCAGCTCCTATTCTGAAAGTGTAATGCAAGATGTGGGAACTGACAATGCAGCTTCTAGTTTTACAAGACTTTAAAAGAAACCTATACAATTAAAACAGGTCAGCTGTAAGATCTTCAATTTTACTTTACAATTACAATTAGAACCAGTACTTACTTAAATATAAGTTGATTTAGTCTCAATAAATACAAAGTAAACATGACTGAAAAAACATCTATTTTTTGAGAATGCATTATTCTCAACATTTCTCCTTTGATAACTCTGCTCTACACTCAGTCACATGTCTGAAAATTTTAACACTCTACTTTTTCCTCTTCTTTATAAAAAATTATCTATTTATTCATCTGGTACAGGGCCTCACTATGCAACTCAGACTCCCCAATACCGGGATTACAGGTGTGTACCACCACGCCCAGTTAAGGGGCTTTGCACAGTGCAACCTGGGTTCTGAGGCCAGCACAGCATGCAGTACCGGGGATTGAACCTGGGTCCTTGTGATTGCCAGGCAGGCATTTAGACCACCAAGCTCTCTCCCCAGTTCCCTTTTCCTTTTCTAACTAGTAAGAAATACACTGGCATATCATGAGAAGAGAAACTTAAGATTTCAAAATCAAATTAACTTCAACAAAAGTTGGATGTTGACTATGCTGTTGATCACATAATGAAGTCTTGGATAACCAGTTCACTGCTTTTTACACTAACAAATACAGATGAACAGACTGCAGTGTGAAGTTCACCTAAAATGCCTACTCTATATGTAATACTATTATTGAAACTGTGCTAGTAATCAGCTTTGAAACTGTCTCATTGCTATTTGTTTCTCAATAAAACTATTAAAAAAAAAATGCCTACTCTTCCTAATAGGTCAGTACTCCTACTAGGTTATAGCTGGTATATAATAAAAAAGAAAGTGTTCTAGTTTTATCTTCCTTCTCTCCTAAACTGTATGTGATATTAAAATTCATTGATATATCCCCAAATGCCTAGCACATGATGGATAATAAATATTAGTTGATCATATAGATAGATTTCTCAGATCCCTTTCCCCTGTAAAATCTATTATTGTGAGAAAATGAAATTACTTACTAGATGCCAGGGCTTCTGCTTCAGTAGAAGGAACCTTATAGATTTTTCCTCCCTTATAAACAAAGCTCCCTTCAATCACTTTGAAATCCATGTATCGGGTAACTTCCGTATAAAGCAGCATCTTAACCAGTTGACCTAGAAAAGTTACATAATTCAAACCATAACTTAAATCATTTTACCACTGGCCAGGAATGGTGGCACACAGTTGTACTTCCAGCACTTGGGGAGGCTGAGGCAGAAATACTGCTGAGTTCAAGACCAGTGTGTGCTACACAGTGAGTTCCAGGCCAGCCTAAACTACAAAGTGAGACCCTGCTCAAAAAAAAAAAAAATCTAGGGCCCGCCAAATAGCTTAGCGGATTAAAGCATGTGCAATCAGGTGCAGGGGCTGGGGGTTTGATCCTGATCCTGCAATGCCAGATCCCTGGGGGCACTGAGACAGCAACTGAGACTGCTGTGGGCGTGCGCCTGTAATCCCAGCTCTTGGGAGGCTGGACACAGGCGGACTACTACAAGTCCGATCTAGTAGTGAGATCCTAAACACCCTGTAGACCCTTCCCTAAAAAAAAAAAAAAAAAGCCCAGGATAGCTGCATATGCCATGCCTATATTCCCAGAAGGATGAATCAGAAGGATTACAAATTTAAGGCTGGCCTGGTCAATTTACTGAGATTGTCTCAAAATTTTAAAAAATTAGAACAGCTAAGAATACAACTTAATAGTCCCTGAGTTTAATCCCCAGTATCACCAAAAATAAATGCACATTTATTGTCATTAATGTCTCCCCAATTTTTTACACTATTCATTACCCCCCAAAAAAAACTTCTGAAGGTTTATTTAAAATGTACAGAAAGAATACATACTTATAGCATATTCAGAAATATTCTTTTTTTTGTTTTGTTTTGTTTGTGGAACCAGGGATTGAACTCAGACCTTTGTGCTTGCCAGGGAAGCACTTATTCTACTGAGCCATCTCCTCGGCCCCAGAAATATTCTTAATATTATAACTTCAAGATTAATAACTGAACGTGGTTTGAAGATATAAAATAATTATTAGAGGCATAAGTTTGAGAATTATGATAGTATTACAAATGGACTTACGAAGCTTTATCATTTATTTCAAAGTGCACCAACTTCAAAATATTTCCAAGTCAGTTTATGTTCATGAAGGTTAACACCAACATCAAAAAGGCTTACAATTAGAAAGCATCTACATACAAGAATTCTCACACACCAAAAGCAAAAAACTCCTTTATGAAATTAAAATTATCTTAAAGCTAATTGGAAAAGACAAACAATAAAGTAGCTAAACACTTAAAAGTTATTTATTTATTTATGTATTTAGTACAGGATCTATAGGGTCTCAATACACAGATCGGACTTGTAGTGATCCTTTTTTTAGCCTCCCGAGCGCTGGGATTGCAGGCATGCGCCATCATGCCCAGTCTCAATCACCATCCTAGAGCACCCTGGGGGTGGGGCCGGCACAGCAAGCCAGGGGATTGAAACCCCAGCTCGTGTCTGCCTAAGCAGGCGCCTTAATCCACTGAGCTATCTGGCCAGCCCTATTAAAAATTCTTTTAACAAGAAATATAGTGATAAGGAGAAATTTATATAGCCAGATGTTAACAGACTTGCACACTGTATAATGATAGGAATTGTTCCCCAAAGTAGGGAAAAACAATACAAACTCATGTATAAAAATGCAATTTATAAAAACTCAATATTATGAAAAAAATTCTAGTCAAGATAAAAACAGGGGCCAGCCACGTAGCTCTGTGGATTAAGGCACCTGCTTAGGCAGACACAGGGGCCGTGGGTTTGATCCCTGCCTGCCCCGCCCCTGGGGCACACTGAGACAGTGACTGAGACTGGGCATGGTGGTATACACCTGTAATCCCAGCACTTGGGATACTTAAAACAGGAGAATTACTCACTACGAGTCTGACCTGTGTAGTGAGACCCTGTAAGCCCTGTACTTAATACATTTTAAAAATTAAATTAAATTAAAAAGACAAGAAAAAGCAAGACGAAAAACATAAATGTTGATGAAGGACAAGTGACTGGCCACTTTGAAAAACTGGATTTCAAACTCTACTTTTCAGCCAATAACACAATAAAGTAGGGCCGGGGAGATGGCTCAGTAGTATAAGTGCTTGCCTGGCAAGCACAAGGGCCTGAGTTCAATCCCTGGTTTCACAAAAAAAATAAAAACAAAAATAAAAAAGTAAAGTAGATGAATTTCATAAGATCAAGTGAATCTGCTTATTTGGTACAATGGGCAAGTTTATATAGCAAAGAACTAAAATGGTAAAATCACTAAAAGCAAGTACCAGTCTCCCCACCCTGTGCTGGGGATTGAACCCAAGACCATGCATGCCAGGCAAGGGCTCTATGCACTGAGCTGAACTCCAGCACTACAAATATTCATGCTTTTATAACTTTGAAGTGCAGAGAAAATTTCCAAGTACACAAAAGAAAAAAGATCAACCAATATGACATGAAAATTGAAAGCATTTTGTACAGAAAAAAATGTCACAAGGCAAATGACAAACAAAAGATATTTTCAACATAGTGTAACAACCTGATTTACAAAGAATTCTTTCATATCAGCACCAGAAAACTTCCACAGAAAATGTGCAAAGCACAAGGCAGGTCAACTGAGTAAAGTCTAGGAAAGAAGGAATATAGCTAAAACTCATTCCGGCCTCTAATAAATAAGAATTTTAAAAGACCAGATTTTTCCTTTCAATATGACAAAAACTAAAATAATATCAATGGTTAATGAAGTACAAGGGAAGGCCAGGGATATAGCTCAGCGGTGCAATGCCTGCCCAGTAAGCGTAAGGCCCAGAGTTCAATTCCCAGTACCAAAACAGAAAATAGTTAAAAAAAAAAAAAAAAAAAAAAAAAGTTCCAGGGAAAGGACAGCATCACTGGTGAAAGAGAACTGTAACAATAAAAAGGGAAATACTTCTGAAAGCTCCCTGCCAGGCGGAGGATGTGGCTCCCCAGTACAGCAGTTACCTAGTGTATGTGATGCTCTGGCTTCAGCCCCAACAAGGGAGGCCCTGCAACCACTACTAGCTACACACGGCAGCACACATCTGTTATCCCAGCACTCTGGAGGGTTAAGGCATGACTCCAAATTCAAGCTCAACTGAGGTAACTAAGCAACTTAGTGAGGTCCTGTCTTATAATAAAAAATAAAAAGCCTGAGGACGTTGCTCAGTACCAAGGCTCTGGATTAAATCCCCAGTACTAAAACAAAAAATTCCAGTACTTTAAATAAATTAAATCAACCAATCAATCATCAATCATAGTTTTTATCCCTGAAATCTGCTTCTAGATATATACAACACAGCACAAATATTCAAAATATATTCATTAAAAAGCATAATGTATTAACAGGCACCACCCCCAAAAAATGTTATACATCAAAATACAAATTATAAGCCATAATCAGATAGTGAAATTGTATCAAGTTTTTCCTTTTTTTCTACTTAACTGCTTTCTAATTTTAAGAAAATAATTGTATTACCTATCCTCAGACAATAGAGATTTTTCCTTTATACTTTACCTTAAAAGAATTCAGTTAATTTAATTTAATTTAATTCAATTTAATTTTAGCTGGCTCAGCCCACCCTAAGAATGGGGCTGGTGCAGCATGTGGTGCCAGGGAGTGAACCGCAGTCCCCTGTGCCTGCCTAAGCTTGCCTAAGCAAGTGCTTTAGACTGCTGATTTATCTCGCTGGCCCTCAGTCAGTTAATTTTAAATTTCAGAAATCTCTATAGTCTTTTCACACAAACTATAGAATATAAATTCAAAAAAAGGGAAAAAATAGCACATACTTTATTTTATGAAATACAAGCAGATCTATAAGCAAAATTTGGCATCTCCAAGTCATCTCAAAAAAAATTAGTATCACATTAATTTAAAGATACTCCAGCCGGGTGTGCTAGCACCTGCCTGCAAGCCCCAGCACTTGGGGGCTGAGGTAAGAGAACACTACAGTTCAGGTCAGTCTGTACTATAGTGAGACGCTGCCTCAAAAAACAATTACATCAAATTAAAATTAAATGATATTTCATACTGCTCTCAAATAAGAAAAGTTTTAAAAGCCTAAAAACTAGAAAAATACTCAAATGACTATTTCTGCAGGCCCAGTAATTTAAGATTGTCACTAAAGAATCAAGAGGAAAATCTATTACAAATATCAAAATTTTGATATATAACATAGATCGCAACCACTGATATTTATAAAATGTTTACAATTTGGGTTTGTATTGCACTCACTTTTGCTTTTCCAGTCATTTACTGTAAGCCACATCCTCTTCCTTCCATTCTTACCAACTCCACACTCAATGAAGTCCAGTCCCTCAAACCCAAAATGTTCTCTTAAGAGTATTTTTATTTCCAAATCTGATTCAACAGACTCTCATAATTAAAATTAAGTCAGAATGTCTTACCATTAGCCATCAGGAACTTGGGAATTAAGTCAACATTCCAGTCTCTTCCTCTCCCCATTGATGCTGGAGGTACTCCTGGTAATTGAAATCTTTTGTATAACTATAAGTAAAACAAAAATACCCATCATGTCACAAAACTTAATTTTTTGTTATATATAAAACTATCTTTGATCAAGTGGTTTTAAGTTAAATACTACCACAAGAGGCTAAAGGATACTTCATTTTTTTAAACAGACAAAAATTTTCCAAAATTACAATATATGTGTAAACATTACACAACTCAAAAATGCAAGCTACTGCAAAAACTTGGTTTCTTTCTTCTTTACTAGTAGAAAAGTAAAAGTACAAAACTATTAGTCACTGACACTGTACTTCTGCAAGCAAGTCCCTTATAATTTGGAGAAATCAAACAATTACAAATTGAATAAAAAGGTCTCTCCTGAATAAAAAGTTAACAAAGGCTTAGTTTTGCTTCTGTAAGTTATTTAAAGGGTTAAAAAGACATTTTAGGTTCAACTCAGAAAAGAAAATGAAAATTGGTTATAGACATCATGTTTTAAATTTTACTGAGGTCCGACTCATCCACAGGCCAGGCGTGGTGGTGCATGCTTGTATCCCAGCACTTGGCAGGCTGACGTGGGGGACTGCTGAGAGCAAAGCAAGCCTGAACCACACAGCGAGTTTAATACCACTCTCAACCTCACGGAGAGACCCTGTCTCAACTTCCCCCAACCAATACATAATAAACTGCACATATCTAATATATACACTTTGATGAGTTTGCTTATATACATACACCCATGATAACTTTACTATCAAGTACTAAACATATCCATCACCACCAAAAACATTGTTGTGTGCTGTTTCTTACAGGGTGATTTTTTTGTGGGGAAGGAATCAAATTTGTAATTTGTGAGTTGAATAGAAGTTTAAATAGAAAGAAGCTTGCAATTTAAGTTTTCAGAGGGCTGGGGAGATAGCTAAGCAGTCTAAGCACCTATCTGGCAAGCACAAGAACCCAGGTTCAATCCCTGCTACTACACGCCATGGTGGCCCCAGAACCCCAGGTGCTCCATGCGGACCACCTGGGCTGGTGGTGCACACTATAATCCCAGTTGGTGTCTCAGCACATCCTGGGGGCGGGGCCAGCACGGCAGGCCTGGGGATCGAACCCTAACCCCTGCATCTGCTTGCAGGTGCTTTATTATGCTGAGTTATTTGGCCAGCCCCAATAAAAGATTTTAAAAAATATAAAAACAAAATTTTGAAATATTTATGAGTCCTTTTCTTCAGATGAAGCAGAATATTAGCAGAGCTTGTGGACACTCAGGAAAGGTTCATGAATCTCCAAGCATTCACACACATACCCTCCAAGTGTGGAAGGCACAGTGCCAGCACATGGGCTCATAAGTTACCTTCAAAGAACAAATCTGGTGGTCATCACCTCAAGTAGGGGTCAAAGTCATTAGCATCATTAATGCTAGCACAACTTGATATTACGTGGCCCCAAACATGATTTAGTATGCTGTAACAAACAACAATTACTTATAACCTAGCAGACTATGCAAAAGAAAAAAAATTCGGAGATTATTGTGGATTGAGAGAAGAAGGAGAAACACCAAAACTGTAATGGCTGAACTTTTAGTTAATCCTGGTTTTAAAAACAAAAGGCTACTGGCAGGCTGAGGCAAGAGTACCATAAATTTGAGCCTAACATGGGCAACTTAGCAACGCAGTGAGAAACTCTCTCTCAAAAAAAAAAAAAAAAAAAACCGATCTGGAGCAGGAGCTCCGTGAGAAGACCCAGAGTTCAACACCCAGTATTTAAAAATAAATAATTTTTTAAGTAGACTACTAAATAGCCATATAAAACACCTTAAGGGCTACTAGGAAATCTGAATAAAATCTATGATCATCATCAATTTTCATAAATATAATAGTAGTATGATTACACAGAATTACACAGGAGAATGCTATTCTTAACAGATGAATGCTAAAATATGGAGTCTGCCCCCCAAAAATGTGTGCACACTTCAGGAAGAGAAAAATGTGTGTAAGGTATGCATTCTCCTGATTTAATATATGCAGACTTTTATGTATGTCATATATATAATATAACTGAAAACCCATCACATTGCTGTGAATTTATTCCTTACAGAATAAATTCAAAATGCATGTACAGCCATCTCAGTGAGCAAGATTATCCAAGCAGCAGTTTGCTCTATCAATAAATGTCTCAAAGCTCATGGCCACCACTTTGAGCATTTCTTGTAGAGGCCAAAGGCAACTCACAGGACTCTCATATCTCAATAAATTTAGTATTACAGTATTTTTACAAGCCTTTTCTTTTCCTAAAGTATGCATACATTTTTTAGACAGACTCTGTATTTAGGTCAAATATCTTCAGGTCTACATTACTTACAATTGTTCAAAACCAATAAAAACACCAACAGGAAGCCACACATGTAGCACACACCTGTGATCCCAGGTCTGGGAGGTTGAAGGAAGACTATAAATTCAATCCCAGCCAGGGCAACTGTCATTAACAAGACCTGTCTCGGGCTGGGGTGATGGCTCAGTGGAATAAGTGCTTCCCTGGCAAGTGCAAGGGCCTGAGTTCAATCCCCAGTTCCACCAAAAAACAAACAAACAAACAAGACCTTGTCTCAAAAAATAAAAGAACTGTGGATATAGCTTAGTACAAAGGCTCTGGTTTTAATCACTAGTATCACTTACACACACACACACACACAAACCACAAAAATATGAAGGTGAAGCAAGTATTTCCAAATGTTAAATCAGGTACAGTGGTGCACACCTGTAATCCCAGCACCAGACAGGCTGCAGCAGGAAGATTGATTTGATTTCCAAACCAGTCTGGGCTAGGGCTACCTAGTGAGTTCAATGCCAACAACATAGAAAGACATTGTCTCAAAAAAAACAAAAACTGTTCAAACAAACAAAACGTAAAATAGGAATTCAGATGTTAAGGTTTTTGATACACTGGAAGTATTATTTCACCTTTTCTGTATTTCTGAATACAGGAAAAAAAACTTTCTAAATCTAGAAACATCACTAATTATAGTTACTGATGATTTACAAACACAGTAGAAGCTCGAATAGGTCAAATAAATAGATGGATATTCTACAAGCCTGACACACAAAAACAATAGTAAGACACACCTTAAAAATGCTTCATGTCAGGGGCTGGTGAGATGGCTCAGTGGTCTAAAGCACCTACTTAGAACAAGCTAAGTCTAGCAAAGTGCAGCGACCACAGTTCAATCCCCCAGCACCACATGCCAGCCAGCCCCGCCCCCTGGTGGGCTGAGC